CACACACACACACACACACACACACACACACACACACACACACACACACACACACACACACACACACACACACACACACACACACACCACACACACACACACATATACATACATATATATATATATATAAATATATATATATATATATGTATGTATGTATGTGTTAGATAGCTTGGAGATGAGACGTTAACGGGAAATGCGCGCAACTTATCGTTTGGATTAGCACGGACCATGTTAAATGTATTATAACGGTTAGAGATACTATACTTCAGTTAATGAATTGTAAGTTAGTAAAGTCTAGGAACGATAGGAGCACAGAAGTTCAAACAGAATATAGCAGCCAAATTAGAGCCGTACTCATACATATCGTAAAGCAGAGACTTACTATGTTAGCGTGAATTAGAGTCGTGCTTGTGCACAGCGTATAATCAGGACATACTCGTGTATAGTGAGAAACAGGAGCGGATACTTTAATCAACATGGGGGCGAGTCCGTGAGATCTGTATTCATCCTTGGAGAAGGGTGAACCTTCAGCAAGCAAATCCGACACCAATGCATTTGTGAGCGGGGCACGAACGGCTCTAACATCAACAGTCAAGCCACGTGCTTAAGCTTATAAGCAGGAGTGCTTTGCTGATTTTGTATTGGAAAGCTTATGATGATTATGATTGGTCTATTGAGTTGGTCAAATGCCAAAGGATTTCTTTTTCAGTACCAAATACGTCTCTAAGCTGTGGGGAAATAAGGACAACTGTGATCCGTGGAATGGCTCGGTCCTGTCATCAATACATACTGTGAGGACGAAGATATAAACATGTATTATGATACGGAATCGATGCCAGCCATATTACAAATAGGGAGTAAAATCTTAATTTCCCTATAATAAGCGTACCTGCAGTATACGTTGAAGAAGTCGGTGTGGATGGTACTCATCACTGTCCCAACAAGTACACACCACACTACTCCTACATGTATTTTCAGGCTGTGACTATGGGTCGGAAACCCTGTTTAAAACATAGGTGATGTACTTCTATATATCGGATTGAATACCAAACCAATGTGAAGTGCTTTTTGGTTTCGACTACATGTAACAAATTCGTTATGGGGTGGTGTGAGACATATCACAACCCCCCCCCTCCCCCCTCCATTTTTTGAAATTACAATTAACGCGTGCCAGATACCCGGTCGGTTTCATAATACCTTGCTCCCCAGAGGTACTAATTATTATCGATACACCCGGGTCTTCGGTCCACAATGACCGAATAAGAAGCTGAGTGCGACATTAAACACTTAGAACGAATGCACAAGATATTGAATGAGTCTATCAGCGAGTTACAAGAACCCGTGGATTTATTTTTATTTAACGAAGCAGTATATTAAATGGAGAAAATCCCTAGTGGTTAGTTTTAAGTCGAAGGAAGGAGCTCAACCGTCACGCCAAGTATATCGCCAAAGGACTATACTCCACAGGCTGTTGAAAAGAGGAAGTAATGAACTTATATATATCCGTCGAATCCGAGGAAGGGGATAAATACAGTACGTGGGTTAGCTCAGCGTGCATTGTGTGGGAATATCCACGGAAGCAACCGGCGGATTCAAAAGGCGACCGCATGACGATCGACGATGATTGAATAGGTTCTGTACAGACTTCCGTACATGCTGCGATTGAGAGTGATATGGCCGAGCACCCGCGGAAGGTAGTGGGCCAGTCCGCTTGTGTCCTTTCTACCCCATATCACCAGCTAAACTTGCATCCAGACTCCCGAAAACACCTTGCCTACCCGACGGGCTTTGCCCTCAGGAAGATGTAGTAGAGAATGCCTGCTACGATGGGCAGCATCAAATGTATCGATGCCGTATTCGCCATGATAAAGTATTCTGAAGCAGATATAGATGATGATAGTACGGTACAGAAACAGCGACAGAGACAGACTATTCTATCGGTCCTTAATATATTGCTATGTACATTCAGCTACAACCTCTCATCAAGTGCCAGCTTAGAGCCATCTCTCCTCCACGAGATGAAGAGATCAGTGATACTTCTGCCATCGTCCGTAGCCGGGCTCAGGCCCTGTTCGACTGACTCCTACCTACCGATATATCGCCGGAAATTAGTTCCCCCTCTTGCAGCCCTTTCGTGGTGGTCTATCTATGTACCGGCTTTGCTGATCGAATGGCCGTGATATAGGGCCTTATCTGAAAAGGGACTGTGTTAGAACGAGAGACTAAACACCAAGTTGGGTATTCCTACTTGTTGCTAGTAAATTGGTGGACGTATCAAGCTGTATCACCCATCGCCTCAGCAGCGCATTGCAATCACGCGGGATGCGACTCATAGGGGTGTTGAAGAATGATGTATTTGCTGCGATGTTCAATATATCACACGCTCAGTTGTATAGCGTTTCTGGGTCTGGCAAGCAGTACGCTAAGGAATGATTTGCTCTGATTTACACGCTCAGTTGTATAGCGAATCTGACTCTATTTCCATTGGCGAATCTCCCTCTGGCGAGTAGTACGCTAAGGAATGATGTATTTGCTCTGATGTTCACAATGATGTTCACTATATTACACGCTCAGTTGTACAGCGAATCTGGCTTTATTTCCTCTGGCGAATCTGGTTCTAGAATGTATTACGCTGTTCATTATTTTTTTCGCCCGGTTGTATAGCGAATCTGGCTCTGGAAAATAGTAAACTAAAATGATGTATCCGTTGTGATGATTACTATATTACAGGCCCAGTTGTATAGCAAATCTGGTTCTAGAAAGTAATAGGCTAAGAAGTGATGTATTTGTTGTGATGTTCACTTTATTACCCGCCCAGTTGTATAGCGAATATGACTTTGGACAGTAGAAAGCAAAGCAATGATGTATCTGCTGTGATGATTACTACATCACGGACCCAGTTGTATGGCGAATCTGGCTCTGGAAAGTAGTAAGGTGAGGAATGATGTATGTGCTGTGATGTTTACTACATCACGGACCCAGTTGTATGGCGAATCTGGCTCTAGAAAGTAGTAAGGTGAGGAACGATGTATGTGCTGTGATGTTTACTATATTACACGCCCAGTTGGACTACGAGTCTGGCTCCAGAAAGTAGAAAGGTAAGGAATGATGTATGTGCTGTGATGTTTACTATATTACACGCCCAGTTGTACTACGAGTCTGGCTCTAGAAAGTAGCAAGGTGAGGAATGATGTATATGCTGTGATGTTTACTATATTACACGTCCAGTTGTATAGGGAATCTGTCTTTGGAAAGTAGTAAGCTAAGGAACGATGTAGTTGCTGCAATGTACACTGTACTGCACACAAACTATGTGATTCGAATTATATTGTTCATATACTAGTATATATGGCTCTCGAAAGCCAAGTTGGGGGAATTATGTCTGATGCGCTGCCCATTTTATTACACACCCAGTCGGCAAATTATAACTAACGTTCCTAATCCCGGCTAATCTCTCACTAAACAGTTAAAAGCAGAGGATGTCGTGGTTGTTGCGATGGACATAGTACTATACATTACATTAGAAGATCTATCCTAATAACTGAAGTTTCGTTTCCTAGCAACCGAATCTGGCTCCGGTGCGTAGTAAGCTGGGTGAGGTATTCGGGGTGAGTCTGATCACTGTGTCCGGCCGGTTGATGGTGAAAATCTATTCCTATTCGGAATGTTTGTTTGTGAGGCGCATTTTATTGTACACCCCATCAGGAAGTCCTAACTAAAGCTCCGTATTCTGGCATATCAGTTTGACATCTGAACATCAAGCAGGCAAGCAAACAGCCAGGCTATCGGGTCTTGTGGACATCCTCCATCGCCGTCTTCTGCTGCCTGTGGATGTTCTTCTGTGCGAATTGCTCCACACACGAAAGTACAAACCTGCGAGGTAGGGAGTGGATGGATGATCGGTGTACCATGAGCAGATCAAAAGCACGCATAACAATGGCACAGAGAAGGCTGATATCCTGTGACCATGTACACACGAGAACACACATTGGGGAGGCGGGCACAGGTGTATGACTAATAGAAGAACAGCAACAACAGCCCACACATAACAAGTGCACAGAGAAGGTTGATATCCTGTGGCCGCACCCACACGAGAACAACACATTTGGAAGGCAGACAGAGGTGTATATGTACAGTAACAATGGCACAGATAAGCCTGATATCATGTGGCCGTACACACACGAGAACACACATTTGGAAGGCAGGCAGACGTGTGTTACTAATAGAAGAAAAGTAACAACACACACATAACAATGGCACAGATAGGCCTGATATCCTGTGGCCGTACACACACGAGAACACATATTTGGAAGGAGGCAGACGTGTATATGTACAGTATATATATATATAAATAAATTGCTCATACCCTGATATCAATATCGTCATCACCCATGAGCCGATGTACGCCACTATATTCTGCTGGCCGTCTTGCCCACCCCCACCATCGTGGAACCTATCAATGGTTCATATTATGAATTAATGTTAAATTAGTTTGGGGATGCGCTTGAAACTAGTGAGCGGATGGGCGAGAAATTAGGTTGAAAATAGAATATGATCTCAAACTACGCTCACACAATTGAACAATACATTCCGAAGTTACGAGACTGTATGCACACACACATAAATATTTATAAGCGGCTGGATGCCCGTAATAGATCGGCATGGCGTGACGTTGTACCTTGACTGAACCCTAAACCCTAAAACCGCAACCCCCCCCCAAAAAACCCAAACAAACAAAACCAAAACCAAAAACCACAGCGTTCTCACTTTTCTCACGTTTTCATCACTAACGATACACATCACAAAGCTTCGCCCAATGAAACAACCTACCGCTCACCTATCGCAAGTACACACCCTGGTTTCTCCCAGAGAAATATACCCCACACTTATACGAGAGATCAATAAGACACACGCCACAGATCAGGTATCATTAGCGGGACAAAGCGGTATTGCAGCATCGAACAATATAAATACCTACCTCGCTCTCTGTGCCGCAAGCAGCCGACCTAGCTTGTCACCCAGGTGCATGTCTCCAGGACTAATACGGTCTATGAACGAGACTATCCTTTGTGTGTACTTGTCGGAGAAGAGCGTGATAAAGACCACTGTTGGGGTAGGTAGTAAGGGATATGATTGCATGCTTATTAATACTATCCATACCCAAACTCACTACGCAACAAAGACCACTGCTAGGGCATGCAGCAAGGGATATCATTGCATGTAAATAAATACTATATATACACGCATTCACTATTCTATCTATCACGCTGCTGCCCCTGAGTTTGAAGCCGTGAAGTAGGTCGTTTAGTGTTAGACAACTACTGAGTAGTTAGTAGTAATAGCACAAGTGAACTAAACCATATCAGGGTATTCGTCTAGTGTTTAACCACTACTGAGTACTGAGTAGTTAGTAGTAATAGCACAAGTGAACTAAACCATATCAGAGTACTGAGTAGTTGGTAGTAATAGTACAAGTGAACTAAACCATATCAGAGTATTCGTCTAGTGTTTAACCACGACTGAGTACTGAGTAGTTAGTAGTAATAGCACAAGTGAACTAAACCGTATCAGAGTATCTGCCATCACGTCGCTGATGCGACACATATTCAAGCCGTTTCGTTCGATTGCGGCATTGACTGAGAAATGATATCACAAGCCTACGGTATCAGGGTATGTTTGGCCAACGTTGCTGATGTGAGGCATAAAAGTAAACGCATACTCACCTGCCTGTCCGTTGACTTTGATAATAGCCTTTCCGATGAATGTGGCGCCAAAAAACGTCCAGAAGGGCATCAGAAAGTGACCACAACAGATACCTGTGCATGTGTGCGTGCAAGGATCCGTATTAGTTTGCGTATGTGCGAGTGTGATTGTATGTGTATGAGTGTGTGCACATTTTGGGCGATAAGAGTTGGATGTGTGGATAGGGATGTGTTTTAAATTGCGTGTCTATGTGTGATTGCACGCGTATCTGCATGGGTTAAAATCACGTGAATGTGTGTATGCATGCCTGTATATGTACGAATGTACGTGAGATATTATTTGATCTGGGTAAATACTAATATATATCTACAATATACAAATGCACACACACACACACACACATATATATATATAGTATATATTCTATATATCTATATGCACATACACATACACACGCACACACACACACACACACACATATATATATAGTATATATTCTATATATCTATATGCACATACACATACACACGCACACACACACACACACCCCCACCCCACCCCCACCCACCACCCACACACATATATAAACCCTAGAAGTAAATAAATAAAAAAATAAATAGAAATATATATATGGGTTCCCGGATTATCATCTCGTCAGAGTGCCACAAGCTACTAACTTTCTATATGGTCAGTTGTGTAGTGTACGTACCGCACAGATCGAATGCCATATTAGGCCATGCAGACATCAATAGCACACCCCAGAATCCGTTCCTCTGTAAGTAGTGAGTGTCAGAGGCAAAGGAATAAATGTAAGCTTTAGATCGAGTACCACAAACAAACAAACAGTATACATGGCTGGTATCTATCCTAATACATATTTCCGTTGTGCATTTTACCCAACATACCAGGACACAGATAGTGCATCTCTAGAACAGACATACCTGCAACAAATCTTCTGCAATTCGTTGTACAGCTATGGTGTTTCTATTCGCTTTAAAGTACCAAGACTTGAACACAAACCAATTGAACATACAGAAATGACAACGTGCTTGATAAGACGCACACATAAGCAAAACATAACATAAAGTACAAAAGTATTAATCTCATATGACCACGTGCTTGATAAGACACACACATAGGCAAGACATAATATAAAGTACAAAAGCGTTAATTTTATATGACAACGTGCTTGATAGGTCACACACATAGGCAAGACATAACATAAAGTACATAAGCGTTAATCTCATATGACAACGTGCTTGATAGGACACACACATAGGCAAGACATAATACAAAGTACACAAGCGTTAATTCCATATGACCGCGTGCTTGAGAAGACACACACATAGGCAAGACATAACATAAAGTACATAAGCGCTAATTTTATATGACAACGTGCGTGGTAAGACACGCACATAGGCAAGACATAATAGAGTACAAAAGTGTTAATCTCACATGACCACGGGCTTGACATGACACACACATAGGCAAATTATAATATAAAGTACAAAAGTGTTAATATCATACGGCCACGTGCTTGAAAAGACACACACATAGGCAAGACATAACATAAAGTACAAAAGTGTGAATCTCTATTCACAACACACAGCACTGACTACGCCCCTGCCTCATCGCTTGTGTGTCAGATCGGAAGATACCATACCTGCAGATAGCCGGTCTTTCAACTCAACACCTGTTGTATTACACATATGTTTGTACCTTCGATCATGGCTCATGCTTTCCTCCTGACACAACATTGGTTATATACATAGCCAAACGCCTTTCATACACACAGCTGGATGGGTAGCGGTTTCTCTCTGCACTTAAACACATAAGTAATAACTCCTACAACACACCTACAGGAGGACAATCCTCCCCTTCTGTATATATATATTGTATGCACAAGACGCTTGTGCCCTCGTGTGCTTCCTATGCACAACGTATACACAAAGCTACCTACTCTACCCACACAACAGCGGCAAGCAACAATGCACGTATTTGCGCAGAGCTACAGATTCATTCAGCAATGGTCTCCAGTCTCCCATAACATACCTGCAGGAAGCCTATCATCCAACTCTGCATCTGCTGTATGGGATTCGTACTTGAACCCTCGGCCAAGTTCTTGATGTCCTCATAGTCTTCGTCTACTTCTCCTGCAATTCGGGCCGCGCGGCTTATGGCGTATGGCGGTATTTCGCCCATGGCAGTTCTGTATATTGATGTCAGTATCGGCGGAAATGAGAGAGTATACACATGCACGCAGACGCAGACGCAGACGCAGACGCAGACGCAGACGCGCACCCACACACACATATATATATACGTATATATAATATTATA